ACCTGGAGGTCTATCCTAGCCCGCACGACAGAGCCTGGCAAGCTACTCGTGTGCCTTCAATATGCCGAAAACAGCAATATGGATGGGCCTCATTCCCTGAACCTGAGGGAGCCCCCAATACGGCAGCGTTGGGTAGGACCGCTCGGGAGAGGCTGCTAGAATCTCAGGGCCCGGATAGGCTGCCTAAACGAAGAAGGACTAAGATGGCGATCTGTACTTTCAACGCACGAACGCTTGCATCCGAAGCTCACATCGAAGATCTGATGATGCAGGCCAGGAAGATCAAGTACGACGTCATCGGACTGACCGAGACGAGAAGGCACCGCCCGCTACACGCCGTTTTCGATACTGGAGAAGAACTGTTCCTTGGAACATGCGACAGCAGAGGCGTTGGCGGTGTGGGTGTCCTCGTCAACACGCACTTGGCCATAAACATCGATTCGTACGAAAGCCTTACGACCCGAATCGGACGTTTGAGGATTGAGAAGATGTGGTTCAACTCCTGCTTTGACAATCTTCGTCGCCTACGCACCAACATCGAGCTACGACGAGGAGGAACACGAAGCATTTTATATGGAATTGGAGAAGTTCTACAAGGAAGATCATACCTTCTTCAAGGTCATCGTCGGCGACTTCAACGCCAAGATTGGCCCGAGAAGAACGGCTGAAGAACTTCACATCGGTACTCACGGAATGGATTGGAATGAGCAGGGCGAAAGACTGTCTGAGTTTATCATGTCGACCAATACCATCCATCACCTTCGCTGGACTTGGGAGTCACCTGATGGACAGTTCCATAACGAGATATACCACATCATCTTCAATCGAAGGTTTTGCCTGACCGACGTCGCTGTTGTTCCAAAGTTCTACACGGGATCGGACCATCGTCTCCTCCGCGCAAGATTCCACTTCTCGATGCGTGTTGAGAGAGCAGCAAAGTTCAGGAAGCGAAGCCCAGGACAGTCATCAACTGGGACCACTTCGCTTCCCTCGTCAGCTTATGGGAGGATTCCGTCATCGAAAACATCGACGAGGAGTACTATCGGCTCGTTGAACATCTTCACGATTGTGGCAAGAAGGCAGAGAGTTTGAAAGTCACCAAGGGACGTCTGTCTCCGGAAACTCTCGAACTGATACGCCAGCGTGGAGCCGCACGAGCTGCAGGCAATCACCGACTCACGTCCGAGCTTGCGAAGCTATGCAGAGAGGCGATAAAGGAAGATCTCAAGGAGCGAAGAGCAGTATGATACTGCTGCCTCCGACGTCCAGATGGAACAGTTACTGCATCCCGAAGGGCAATGGAGAAAGTCATCCACGACTTCTACTCGGATCTCTTCGATAGCCATGTCCATCTGCCTACTTATCAACCGCGAGAGGATGGATACGTTGTCCCTTCAGTTCTCTCTTCCGAAGTCCGACACGCCATCAAGTCGGTGAAGAATTGTACAGCGCCCGGTCTCGACAGGGTTAAACCGGAACATCTGAAGAACGCACCGCCAGTTATCATCAAAACTCTGGCTCGACTCTTCACGCGCTACCTGTCGGAATGCAAGGTACCCACTCCGTGGAAAACCAGCAGGACCGTGTTGCTGTACAAGAAGGGAGACTTGGACGACATTGGCAACTATCGCCCAATCTGCCTGCTGTCTGTAATCTACAAGCTATTCACACGAGTCATCCTTAACAGGATCGGCAGAATACTAGATGAAGGACAGCCATGCGAGCAAGCAGGGTTCCGAAGAGGGTTCAGCACGATCGACCATATCCACACGGTTACAAGACTCATTGAAGTTTCACGAGAGTACAAGATGCCGCTTTGTCTCACGTTCATCGACTTGAAGAAGGCCTTCGACTCTGTGGAGACAGAAGCGGTCATCGAAGCCTTGGGCAACCAGGGCGTCCCTACTCAGTACATCAAGATTCTTCGTGAGCTCTACAGCAACTTTACGACCAGGATCTCACCATTCTACAAGGAGGTCATCATCGACGTCAAGAGAGGGGTTCGACAGGGCGACACCATCTCGCCCAAACTCTCATTCGACGCATGACGTTCTCGAGAACGCCCAAACTCTTCAGCCGCTCTCGAGAACGTCATGCGTCAACTGGAATGGGAAGACATGGGAGTGAAGGTCGACGGCCGGCAACTACACCACCTTCGTTTTGCTGACGACATCGTTCTTATAACGCCGAACATCGAGCAAGCGGAGCGAATGCTGGCTGATTTCGACTGCGCCTGTGGTAAGGTTGGTCTACAGCTGAACCTAACGAAGACGATGTTTATGAGAAACGGATTGGTTCCTGATGCCCCATTCACGCTCAACGGAACGAACATCACCGAATGCTCCAGCTACGTGTACCTAGGTCGGGAAATCAATATGATGAACGATCTAGCTCCAGAGCTGAGCAGGAGGAAACGAGCGGCTTGGGGAGCGTACAAGAACATCGAGGGAGTAGTGAAGAAGACGAAGAACATCCGGCTCCGTGCCCACCTCTTCGATTCCGCTGTCCTTCCTGCCCTAACCTACGCCTCAGAGACTTGGACTCTGCGCAGGCAGGACGAGCATGCGGTCAGCGTTATCCAACGCGCTGTCGAGAGGACGATGCTAGGAGTAACCCTATACACGCAAGTGCAGAGGGGAATCCGGAGTTCGAACTACGCCAACGATCGAAGATCAGGGACGCTGCCGTTTTCGCCAAGGAATCGAAGATAAGGTGGGCCGGACACGTCATGCGATTTTGCGATGACCGTTGGACCAGAGCGGTTACCGACTGGATCCCTCGGGACGTCAAACGAACACCTGGACGACCGCCGGCCCGATGGTCAGACTTCTTCACGAAAGCTCTGAACGAAAGGAATGATGGACTTCGTGTCCCTCGAGCAAGGAGGATCCACTGGACCACCCTAGCACGCGACAGGGACGAATGGAGACGTTGCTGGCGCCCGCTCGAGCAAATCGACGATCAACGGGACGACAGGTTGATACAGGTATATGACATCAATTGCTGGTGTTGGCGTTCTTCGGTGCCAATTTTGTGGCGTCAAATCACAGTGCAAAAATTTTGTCACCGCGGGGAATCGAACCAAGGACCACTTTCCCACCCTTTTTTGGCATTCAGTGGGCCATTTAGCGGAAATGGACCACAGTTCTGTATTCCAGGCACATCCTCTATATCATAGGAAAAACCATTTTAAATGTCCGCCGCGCTCCACGCCCTAAACGACTTCGCCTTGTGAGCAAACGAAAACTTCAGAGTCACAAGGCCACAGTCATGCTGCGGCGACTAGACAACACTAGTGATGATGCTTGATATATTTATTTATTCATATCATCATATTTTATATCTATACAAACTAACAATAACCACAGGTTCTCGGACATTGCTGCTGCATCAGAGTAAGATAATCGACTCGCAGATAGGCGACCATCAGCGCAGCTCGACAACACCCTGTTGCTGCCGATTACATGATTGACTCTGTCCACACAGCTGAAAAACATGTGTGAACAAAAGGACCTCTAAACAATAAACCGGATGTGGGTGCCGAACTTTAAATAGTGTAACAAGAGTGACTTACAGCGACCCAACAATGAAGGAGATGTGCGATAGGACTTCTCGAGAAGCGTATTTTAAATACACCATTCTATTTGTCATTTTTCAACTATTCAGCAAGCTATGATAGTTGTATTACTAATATCCAGGAGGATGAAAAAAAGTTTTTTAGTGGCATATTAATGCGAAAGACCTCAAAACGAGGAGAAGGCATAGATAAGGTTAGAGACATCGCGACGGCACTTGGCCGTGAAACACTGGGTTGCGTGATATTTGCTTCATTGGCGCGCATTCTACAGCAGTGATGACACCTCCTCTTGTTAGATAAGTGCAAGAGGGGTCCGCACTCGGATAAAGCGACCAACTACGGTCATCGAGTTCTCTAGGAGAGTGATCGAGCAAGTACTATCTCACCCGGGCCAAAGGCCGGGGTAATGAGGTTTCGGTCATGTTTTTACTAGCCGCCTGAGAAAATAAGTCTCTCTGGAGAATCAGGAGGTGACTTCATCTTCAGACTGCGACGCGTGCCCTAGTGGTTAAAGTATTCGTCTTCATGGCAGAGTATACGTTATGTCGCCTTAAGTGATCTTTGTTTCAACTTTTTGGACAGAATAAATTGTGGGTCCATAAGCTCGATAGTGGTGTGGTGATATCACAGTTTGTGTTAGCCTCATCGTCAGTGCCTCCGGATCGCGGTTGAAGTTGGAAAGCTGAGTCTTTGGGATTCTCAGTCGCTAGCCGCTCAGAGTCACGCACTTCGTTATTTGATTCTTTTTCTTGCATTGTTTGCCCTCTTTGCAATAAACGGTAACCTCTATTCGTTTATCTCGACAAGCAGATGTGGAATGCACGAATTATCTCAAATCACGATAAACGCCTTTTCACTTAAAGCTGGAAGCGATTAGCAAGCCTCTTTCTTTATATCAGGTTCGGTACACTTTCGAGAATCTCCGAGAAAGTATAGGAGCTCGTTATGCGGGAAACTTGTGCCTACGACTAATAGCTTCTCCTGCTTCCACTCAGTTTCCAGAGCAGTGTAACTGCTCGTATCGCCCCTATGACCGGAGGTGAGGGTGTGCTTCCAGGTTCAAAGAATATGAACTCCTGATCTCCTCAACACAAGACACTGAAGCCCACTTCATGCTCGGTACATGGCTGCCACTGTTGCGCCATGCCACCGATACAATGGCACATGCAGCCTCAATCTGCAACGAATTTTGGTATCTACTCTCCCAAAATATTCGGTGCACCCGGCCCAGTTATGGCCAGAAGACGATTATTCCATTTTGGGATGCATCACGCATTCCACTATTATTCAGAATCGTAATTGCATATTGAGTGCGATTTGGTCTACAATAAATTGCGCAGCTATTCGATGTACAAGTCAGTGTTTTGGCTTCCTGGTCAAGTCCTTCTCAAGGTGAATACGCTTGTCTCAGACCGTTCGACGTTTAGTGGGCCATGCTGGTACAGAAGTGGATGCACTCACTGCTTGTCGTGGATATGCTTGAGATTGAAGATGTACAGCGTCCACATGTTCTTGGGCACTGTTCCGTCATCAATGTGTAGTAGGCCGAATTATTACAGTATCCCGCCATAGCAGCACAATTGGAAACTCCAGTTGCTGCATTCACTTTGTCCACACAAGCTGAAAATACAAGTTTTACGATGTTTCGAGCAACGGATGAGGGATAAAGCATAAGACGATGATCCCACGCCAAGATGCACTACGCATTGCACTTCCATCCAGAATAGAAAGAAAATGAAAATGGCCTTTTGAATGCGATTTGGCCTACAGGGAGCCAACCGATTTAGAAGTAAGTGTTCAACTCTGCTAACAAGAAACCGACCACGGAGGCATGGAATGCTCGTGGCCTGAACAGCGTAATCCGGGAGATACATATTCCCCGGACCGTGCGCTAAGTGAACAGCGCCACTCGCTCGTGAGCCCGAGGAGGTGGTCAAGGATATATGGAAAAGCTAGGTACTTTACAACCTTCGCTTCAGTAAAATCGGCCTGAGACTGCGGCTTGATCCAGTAAATCTAAAGATATGGAAAAGATGGCAGCGTCTATTCCTACGATTCCCCGTTTCCTTTACATCGAATGGCTCAGAGACCGGCTCATCCCATCTACACAAACTTCGAAACGGGTATTTTGTTGTAGTTCGTGACAGAGTGTGTGCCTCGTTCCTATGCGAGAAGTGGTGGGAGGTGTTTATGATGGGCGGGGTGTCTGACAGCTGTGAGACGAAGCCTACAGGTTTCAGTTGCGCACTTACAGAAGGCTTTGCATCAGCTTACGAAACTCCGGAAGTAGAACAGATGCTTGTTGGAGAGGCAGACATTGATATCATGTCACTGACGAAGGGGGAGGGGGGGGGGGTCTTTCAGGGCAAGCCGCGCTTTTTCAAAACGGTTTCTTGCATATTGTAGGGACGCATGTAGGGAACACAAAACCATGTTTCATTTTCGCTGAACGGTTTTAGCAGTACCAAAAAAGAAGCATAAGGTACTGTTAATGGTTCGATCCCCCGTGGCGACTAAATTTTGCATTTGGGTTGGCGCCTACGGTTTGGTGCCAAATCGCGCTAAATGTCAAAATCATGTCATATTCATCGTCAGGACCATTTTGAAGCCAAAAGTGGCCGCCAACCTTGATTGCAAAATTTAGTCGCCGCGGGGATCGAACCATCAAGAGTATCATTCACCACTTTTTTGGTACTACTAAAACCGTTCAGCGAAAACGAAACATGGTTTTGTGGTCCATACATGCGTCCCTACAATATGCAGGGAACCGTTTCAAAAAGCGCGGCTTGCCCTGAAAGACCCCCTTGTGAGCTACGATGCTGAAGCCATCGAAAAAGTTCGTGCTCTGCAGAGGCAAATCAATATGCGCGATTTATGAGACACGCTCAGGCTTACAAGAATTCAACTTACTTGTTGAAATAGTAGTAACGGAAGACGATGTGCAACGTCCACAAGTCCTTGGGCACTGTTGGGTCATCAGCGTGTAGTAGGCCGCATTGTTGCAATACGATGCCATTGCGGTACAATCCGAGACGCCAGTCGCGGGGTTAAGCAAATCCACACAGGCTGAACGACACTTTTTATCATACACAAAAAAACCATACCGGTTAATCCTCTCCTAATCTGGCTGCGGCCCTAATTATTCCAGCTCAATCATAACGATAAAAATTTAGGGAAAGACAAAACCGGAAAGGTGGGGAAGATTAAATCAGAACCTGTTCTTGAAGGCAGCAATTACGATAGGTTCTAGAGGAGTGCACAAGGGACGTGGGGGTGCTTAATAGTACGCCAATGACGAAAGAAGCAGAGAAATCGGTCAAGAAAGTGGCATCATGCCAATCCTTGCTCTAGTCGAGTTACTCCAGTTGTGCGCTTCTGGCATCCCAGCTCGTTCGAAGCACTAACTGAGAAGGCGGAGTGCTTTTAAACTCCTGCTCAGAGCAGTTGTTTTAAACTCGTCAGCAGACCAGCGCACACGTCGTTTGAAAGCGCCACAACTTGCTCCCTGGCACCCAGTACGGGTCGGGATTATGCGCCAAAAGCCAGGTCCTCCTTGAGTGAGAAGGAGTGGTTTCCAAGCGCAGGAGGCGCTACTTACAAGTGTGAGGCTATGGCACTGAGGCCTTGCCTTGCAGGCTGCCGTACTGCCATTCTTATCAATCGCGCCATTCGTGGTGTCTGCGCCCTATCGCTTACGTCGTGCTCTCTCGCGTTTTCCCTCTTCGCCAGCCGCTTTGCTCCTCTCAATACACCACCGGCCGACGTCACGGAGGAAATTTCAGTGTTTTCTACGCTTTTTTTTTCAATTTATCCTCTCCAGTAGCTCCCAAATCGCTACTTTTGATATAATTTCGAATTAAGTAACACAAACAATTACGCATCCCGCTTGGCTGTGAAAAGAGTGCCGCGCTGGCTTGATTCAGTGCCTCACAGACATGAAGACTTTCTAATCATTCGTTAATCCTGACATTGCACTGATAGTAGAATAGTGTTTAATTGAGCATTCTTTAAATTCGATGATTTACTTTGTGACCTCATTTGCGTTCTGCTGCAAGTTCTGGTGCACACACGGGTGATATAATAACAAAAAAAAAACAGAACAATGGATGATTACGATGCACCGGAGTTGAAAACGAACCATTAAGCCGTCTAGCTTCTAGGATCCCTCGAAAATAATCCTTTTTCTGGGAGCTGCAGTGTGACAGGAGCTTTTTCAACAGTATAGGATTGGCCATTTGTTAGTTGCTATGATGCGAAAATACATCCACTATTTGGATAGTCACCATGCGCGATTTATGGGATAGCTGAGACCTCTAATAACGCAACTCACTGGTAGAAGGGATAGTGACGGACGACGAGGTGCAACGGCCACAAGTCCTTGGGCACTGCTGGGTCATCAAAGTGTAGTAGACGGCGTTGTTGCAGTACGACGCCATTGATGCGCAATCGGAAACGCCTGTGGCAGCGTTCACTCTGTCCACGCAAGCTGAATAGAATGTTTATTGATTTTGTTTATTTATTTATCCGCTTCACCTTCCTTTAAATTCTATCCTGAATATTGACCTTAGTATTGGAGGGAATAGACCAAGAATCTTTTATTTCATGTTTTCTTACATTTCCTCGTTTTCTGCTGCGCTACACTCTTCCTTGCCCTCCTGTCTTCACTACGATACCACTGATGCTACTGACCGTCACGAGTACGACCCCCATGATCCACCCTGAGAAGTACGCCCCTGTCGAGGATTCCTCGATCGAGATTCTCCCTGGTAGGCACTACCTGAAACTCAAGTCACCATCACAAGTGGTCATCCATGGGAATACGCATTCAAATGCTTCTGCAATTTAGAATATAATGAACGATAGATGAATCGATGAACCAGTCCCTCACAGCTTCGTCTGATTACAAAATGAGGGCTATAGCATGAACAATAAAAAAAAAAAAAGCCTTCAAATAAGCAATGTGTGGGTTCAGGTTTCGGGGGGGGGGGGGATGGTATGGAGTGGACCAAAGGATAAACCATGCAAAAAAACTCCTTGAAGGCGGTTGGAAATTCACAGGTTGACGTGTCATGTAGACAGCGAGACTAATATTATGCAATTTGATTTACGTAACTAGCATTATTCCAACAAAAAAATTTCAACACCCTGTTATTGCTGGAATACGATCATACTCGGCGAATTAGCTGTCGGCTGCACAGCGAAAACCAAGGAGGATAGCACCGCCCCTTCCCCCATACTTGACAAGTTGATTCAGCAGTAACGGCGTTGAGTTGCATTCCACGCCGCCCTTGGTCTCTCATTTTACTACGCTATCTCAGTATTGCCATGCAACAGCGACAAAGCCCTTCGCTGTTGCTCCAAGAGCAGCTGACGCCAGTTGCTCATTGAACGAGCATGATCGTGACCTTAAAAGTAGTTCTTGAGCAGTTGCGACACGTGAAAGCTACTCACTTGTGGGAATCAATGTAGTTGCCACAGTAACTACTGGGATCGTAGGGAATGTGATCACTGGAGGAACTGTGGTTACTAGCGGCACAGTAGCAGCAGGGATTATCTGAATGAAAAAAAGCTGAGATCACTCAAGAGTCATAAACATCGGCTAATTTCTAATAACAGCCTATACAACACATTAGAAACGTGAGTCATCTTCTTGCATAACTACTTCATTCGAATAAATAAAAGATCTTCAAAAAATTTATGTTGTTTTGCTGCATTCAATTGAAAACATACCTGACTATTATCGCAACAGGAATCGATGTTGGTGAGACAAGTCATTGTCGGCATTGGACACATATTTCCGAGGCAAGCTGGAATTGGGTATAGATGGAGGAATCGTATACAAAAACTTGGTGGATTCTTTTGATGGATGCGTCATGTGTGATGGCTACAGCGGACGAAGTTACTTGGGTGCTAATTGGGTTGGGGGGGGGGGGGGGGAGGGGAGATGGTTGAAACCTCTGAAAACACGTTGTGGACACAGACCATACTTAGGAGAGACAAAGGGGCGCATAGAACAAAGTACGTATTGAGATGACCACCAATCCGGTGAAGCATCTAAGCAAGGAATTGAATACAAGTTTGTGAATTCGGAAAGAAGAGGTAAAACATTTCAGCGTGGTAGATCAGGGTGCAGTGGAAGATAGAAATCTTCCTTTCCTCGGCGATGAAGCCAAAAAGATTTGCTAATGGACGCACGCCTTACAGCAAATACAAACGCTCCCGCCAGCGCTCTGTGACAGTTCTGCGACAGTAATTTGTACGAGTAAGCTAAAATTGCCAGACCTCCGCACCGCTGCGAGGGCAACTGTTCCATAATTGACTTGACCACAACAATTTCTTCAATGATTTGACCCGGGTACCCGACAGGAGGCCCGTCGCGCGGCAAGAAGGCAGAGTCAGCGGACGAGTCGCAGCGCGTACTGTAGTGATTTCGCGTCAAGAAAGAATGTACCACTGTACGTCCTACATCGCGCATCACTCGCTGACTCTACCTTTTTGCCGCGCGACGGCCTCCTGTCGGGTACCTATTCGATCCGGTCTCAGCCTGAGGTATGGAAACTCAGGGTCAACACTTTGGTGAACCCATTTGCGTAATCGTTGGAAATCCTAAGCGATTACACTACCTATTTCTGACCTGCTATTTTCGAGAAACAAACAAATAAACTTTTACTATAAAAAGTACAGAAACATATGGGACATCGTGATAGCCGATTGTGAACATGTTTTGAAAGGCAAGAGCACAGACTTGAAATTTTCGATTTTGTATATGTTTTACAGTTCACACTGTTGTTCACACAGCCAGTGTGCTTTAAGTTTTAAACTACACTGGCTGTGTGATACGATAAGATTTCCAATGTATGGAGCAATAATGAATATAAATCAAACAAAACTATTATAAACTTCTTTCTTACTATGAACTTCTATTCACCATAACCACCTTCTACGGGCATCGAAAAACACTTCTACAAAACTGTTGGCAACAAGTATTTCAATTTTAAAATTTTTGAACCAAAAATGTGAACAATCTTACGTCCTGCTCCTCCATCTCGGCACGACTGTGCCAGCACTTTGCTTACGAGAGCGGAAGCAATCAGCAGAAGAATACAGTAACCCATGTGGAATGTCAAAGTGCCGAGCAGAGCCTCTCATCGCCATTATAAGGCCAGTGGTCGGAGTTCAGAATAAGCCGCTGTTCCAACTTCGACGCCCATTCGTTGCAGATGTACAAATACACGTGTTCAACGCGGATGTATTCAGAACCTCGCTTGGAAGTGATTTTTGACCAAGCCATCAAAAATTGCAGCAGAATTAGATGTTTCAGAAATAGTTCACGGAAGCCCGGACCGGTCTTGATCAGTTCTCTGTATGCGCCACGCAGTCGTCAACCATTTCAAATTTCAAGTGCATTTGAATGCATCGCTGGTCACCACATCGCTCCACTCGGTAGCTTTATATCACCAGAAACTTTTTACTACTGAACATAGTTATAATGGATCCAAAGGTACGTAATCCTATCCGGAACTGAATCCCAAGAACCTGTTTAGGTAATGCCAGAGTCAAATCGTGTAGAAACACCGCTATTTTCAGCTTGACACAAGTTTTACACGAAGGGTACTTCTGAACATACATAGCTTCGCAACTAACATTTATAAACTCTCGAAACTTGACATCACGTCTGAATAAAATATTACACGACTGCAAAAAAAGAAAGAGAAGGATAAAAATCACAGTACGAACCGCATCTGAGAACACTATCACTTAGTGAGCAAACAGGGGTACACCGGAGCATCCCAGTCTCCAGAATCTGATTAACACGTTGACGACATCGCGCGTTTTGGGTTTTTGCAACGCGTGGGACCAGAGCGATTTTGCGAGCGTCGCCGACGCACCAATATCCATGAATTTTGAGCTGTAAATACGCAAACTTGGACGCGATGAAGTGTTTTCAATAATGTTCGATCTGTTTAACTTATCAGGAGTTAAGTATGGATGTTCACCGAAAATGAATGTTAAAGAATATGGAATGCAAAATTTAACCTATTCCCCTTTAGATGTCCCAACTTAATTTGGACGTGATTGTTACGCGGGTAACAAACTATCTTTCCATACGAATAACTTTGCAATTGCCTTCTATATTCTTTTCATACGCTAATGAAAGAAAGAGAGGGATGAACTGAACAGACATATCCGTAAGGTCTGGAAAATGTCTGTCAAACTAAAGAATATTTGCCTTTCTGTGAGCCATGTGGTTTTTATGTATGCTAATGTATGGCCTATAGAATGAGTACAAAGACCTTAGGAATAAGTCGCGCAAGCGCAAGAAAAAGGGATGACTTGGGTGGGACGCGTTACCGCGTCACAATGTCCCACGAGGTGCGCAAAGTGGGATGCGTTACCGCGTCACGCTGTCGTCAACGTGTTAACAAAACATCATTGCTGCCACCCGTATTTCACGCGCTCTCGAACGGCAACTTGCTAACTATAAATGCTTCAGTTCCTATCATGATCGGCAAAGTACATATTCGTAGCCAGCTCAAAGTCAATACAATAGTTTAAAATCAATGAACGATTCTCAACTTGAGGCTTAGGTGCGACATTACACATTTCATGGAAGCTTGGTGATCACCCAAAAGGGGCTTGACAAAAGTTCTAAGTGAAACATCTAGCTACAATACTGTTTCACTTCAAGACCTCTGAAATCAAAACCAGAAATTTGAAGGCCTGTAGATAGATGAGCTGCTGTAAAACATCGGCCAACGGTGGTGCAATGGTTACGCTAACACCTATCTCCGCAAACACAGTTAACAGGTAGCAAACCAGCAGAGGTACAAGTGCTTAGCCCATGACTCGCGTCTGTGATTAACCTCCGATCGCTAAGTGAGAATAATAAACACCAGTCAAGGAAAAAGAGTCAAAGAGGGCATGCGAGCACATCTTCGATGGCTTTCTCTACATGCTCGAAATCAGTTTTTTCTCTCTTACGAAACGTGTGATAGAGGCGCTTTCGCGGGCGTAGCCGCCATTGTCCACTATCGTATAACGCCGTCAATTTCTTAAGGGGGTGGACTAGGCCCCTCAGTGCGCTAGGGATGCGGGTGGGACAGCCTCTTCATGCAGATCCACTAATGGCGCTCAGTGACGTCCGCAAAACCAAACAGCCTCCAAGCATCGTGTTCACTGTCGCCTTAAAGTTTTAGGTGTCAAGTTTTTGAAATAAACGTGAAATTCCCTTCCATGACTATGCTTCTGAGCCTCTCATCAATGTACCCCCCCCCTACTCCAAATAGCCCACTACTCCTTGATCCGCATAAAATTATATGGCACGAGAAACTACAAACAACATTCTCATTCGGCTTTCTCTTTGTCATCAGTAGCGAGTAAGCAGACACCGACGAATACCATACTCAATGCACCCGCAAGTATGGAATGCGTCTCAGAGAAGAACAAGTAGCCAAGAACACCCTGAAATGATACACAATACGTTCACAATGATAGCCTGTAGGATAATAGCTTTTGAATGGAATTTTCAATAACGTAGTGATATTTGTAAACCGTCTGCCCCTATTTATTGCGCTGGAAAGGCTCAATCTGGAGTCTCTTCTCCAGATTGAGCCTTTCCAGCGAATATCGTTGACCACGGCTTAGGTTCGCTAAGGGGGGGGGGGGGGGAGAAGATCAACATTCTTTCGTAGCAAATAGCATTCACCAGATTGAGTTACAGCAGCTCTACACTGCAGGGGCACCGCCCATTCCGCAAACTCCGCCCATCAAGTATAGCGCGCAGAAGTGGTGAAACGTTCTGGTAATTAAAATTTAAGATCAGTGAATTGTGTACTAGGTTCCCTCACCGTTAAGAATAAATATATTAAAGAATGAGAAAAAGCTCCAGGTTTCGAAAGAAATGATTTGCTCTCCAAAAACAATAGGACGACAAAAGCTTTTATATTTGGATGTTCTTCAAGGGGATCTGTCAAATCAGTCGCATTTTAGAACCTATTAGTGAAGAATCGATGTTGAACTTATCACAGAATAGTCCCTCTCTCTACGACATCAATTGAAAAAGGTGCCCATTGTCAGACATCACAACAAGTTCCTTCCCTCATCAAACAGTTCGGACGTTATTTCTCGCACAGTGCCGGCCTTTTACATGCCCTAGTTTGAGGAGGTTTTTGTGCGATCGCCGCACGCACACAACTCGGCCAGTCGCATTCCCGTCGTGTATGAACGTTCGTCGTTCCTCTCAACCCCATTCACCTCCAATTTCCACTCGCTCTGCACCAGTTTTCTGCAAATTTCAATGCACTCAATCCTTCTCAGAGTTAGTACCTAAGTACATAAACTCTACATTTGAAGCTTATAGGTTGATACCTCAACTGTACTATAAGGTAGTCCAACCTGAAGGTCATGGAATTACCCAACCCCAACGGTAGGAATGGTAAAAGTGAATTTATGCCTATGCTCAGACCAGAGGCACAAGAAATTCCATTAATGTACTGAGGCCGTACTCTGTCCTTGCCGTCCGGGGAGGAGCGGGGGGGGGGGAAGAAACATTCTTTAGAGAGCATATTTTTTTCTAATAGATTAACGAACTTACTTCCGAAAGACTTTTGTTCTTGCATTCGCACATGTTCTCGCCTTTCCTAAGGACGACTCTTTTCAAGAAGTAAATAAAAACAAAGGGGTTTGTTCACCTTCCAATAGGAAGGGTGGCATGCGATCTTTGAATAGATCAAAGGAAAACCTCCGTAGTAGTACATAGAATATTGCCTAACTGGAGCTCATTACAGAGTGTTGCAAACCCGCTTCAAGGATGTAGTGCAGTAAGGGGAGCGATGTTCAAGACAGTGCGTTTATGCTCCCGTAGAAGTCTTTGCCAATAAAAAAAATTGCCAGATGGCTGGCATGGTTCGCTCGGACGGTTTACTATCCGGCGGACCGTCTAACTGTATTACCCTGGGCGCATCCCAACTGCTATCATGTACGCTT